CTGTTGCTGCTGCCAGATTCCTCGGGCCAGAAAGGGCCTTGGCTCTGTTCTGTGTGTGTACACGTGTTTATGTAGAGAGATGTCTCTCTCTCTGCTGTCAGCCAGATCCTTTCCTCTGTTGCAGCCAAGAGTCATGCCTCCTCCATAGCCTCCTGCTTCGATTCCTTCCTTGCTGCTTGGAGGGAACAGACCACAGGCTTTAACATTCCTGGTTGTTAACTACAGAGCTAGCTCCTTCCCTGGCTATTTAATGAAGAGGCAACCCTGAATCCCCAGTGTTCTTGGGCCATCTGATCATCAAAGTTATGAGAGGGTAAGTTCTTCCCCTAATATCTAACTTCCATATCTGCTACGATCGTTTTCGGATAACTACATCGAAGGGACAAAAGGTGGAGGTTTCTGCTCCAGCAATCTCTCTGTACCCTGCACCTCTTGCTAACCCACTGGCTCTGTAGGAGGTGAGAGCTGGAGAGACAAAGAAAGCTGTCAGCTGTTGTTCTGTTATAGCCCTGACTTGTTCTCATCCTTGGCCAATTAAACCTTTTCAGCATTCCCAGCCACCAACATAAAGATTTTCATTTTCTCATTTATATTCTAATCATAAAGAAATTGAAGGAAAAAGACGGAGGGGAGAAGCTTGGATGTCATGGAGCAAATTCTGGGTCTGACTACAGAGACATAAAATACCCACAAGACTCCCTCCCTCCCTCCCAATCACACACACGCGCACACACACACACACACACACAGCCTTTCCTCCTGGGCCCCCAGAACCTAATTTTTCACATTTGGAAAACCCAGATGATTTTTGCCTGGGTCCATCTGGTTTTCCAAATAACCTGTCTATTTGATAAATAACATAAGTTAAATTAGACAAGACAAACAAAGAGAGGGGTGGGCAGTGAGCTTTTTTCCTTCCTTCAGCCTCTGAGAAAAAGAAATGGGGGATGAAAAACCTACACCACGCCTCACTCCCAACCCTGCCCCAGCACTTTCCACCCCTTAGACTAGGCCCAGTGATTCTCCAGTCCGGAGCTGGGAGCTGCCTCTTCACCCCCACCTCTAGCCCACCAGCCATCAAGAGTACCAGGCTGTGGTTCCTTTTAAAACGAAGGGAAGGAACCCAGGCATCCAGCCCCATAGTTTCCGCCAGTCACCCTTAGGCTATAGCTGCTTCAAACCCCCTTTCCCCATTATGTATCCCACCACAGGGAACAACTAGATCAATAAACTGAAAATGAAAAACCTTTAAGGTGAGAGAAGAGAGGACAGAAAGAGGGGATGGGAAGGACGTGGATAGTACCGACCAAGACAATACAACTACTAGGCACAGAGAGACCTGGCACCTGGGGCTCAAAAGGTAAAATCTGAGGTGACATCAGCCACATTCAAAGCTGCGCCTGTTTTCCCCCAGCTCACTGTGAGAGTCCAGGCACACAAGCAGACCTCCATCCTGACCACTCTCACAAGTCCCAGCACAGAGCCAGCCATCACTGGTCCTGAGATAGGCCCACAGGCTGGTAGCTGTGGAGACTGGTGAGGCTTGGCCTCTTTCCCACTCAGCCAGACCATAATATGAGGCGTCAGCACCACCCGTTTCTCAGCAGAAGGTTAGCCAGCATTAGCCCAGCCTCAGTCAGTTCACATTAATTTGTCCCTTTGATCCTAACGCTGTGAGCTAAACCAAGCCATTTCACATTAACCTCATTTTGCCAGTTGAGGAACAAAGTTCAGAGAAAATGAGTTATCCAAGGTCATGTCACTTGTAAGTTGCCGAGCAAGGATTTAAGGTTTCACATAGCAACCACCTCTATTCTAACCCACACTAGAAAGTTTCTTTGTAGGCGATTCAGCTCCAAGCTTTTCACCAGTAGCTCTCCCAGTCTTCAGATCACTCATTATTTAATAAGTATTAAGCTATTCTATGTACCAGGTTTGGCGCTACCCAAAGCATACGTTTTTTGTTTTTGTTTTTTTTTAAAGATTTTTATTGGGGAATTGGGGGGATGGGAACAGCGTTGGGGAATCAGGGAAGGGGAACAGACAAGTTGCTGTTGTTTTGTTCTTCAGTCTAGTTGTGGAGGACGTTGCTTCACTGGCCCAAGTAGGCATCATCATTGCGCTCTTCCTGGGTGAGGCAAATCAGTCGCCGGTTTCTGGACAGCCGCTCACTGCAGCTGCTGACCGCTCACGCTGGCTGCTGGCTACACATGGTAGCCCATGGCAACCCACTGCAGCAGGGGCTGCAGACTAGCCGTCGCCGGTGACTCACAGCAGCCCAGCTCCAGGTCGAGCTGTTGTTCAGCATCTTAGCTGTAGAGGGCAGTGTCACTGGTCCTCATATGTGGGATCCGAACCGGGGAACTCTGGCGTCCCAAGCCAGTTGTTAACCATCGTGCCACTCGGCCGGCCCAAGCATACGTTTTTTTAACAAAATAGGTATGGTGTCTGCTTTCACAGAATTTAGTCTAATGGGGAAAACAGACCTAAACAAACATTAAGGTGGCAAACTATGATAAAAGAAAGAAAGAAGGAAAGGAAAGGAAAGGAAAGGAAAGGAAAGGAAAGGAAAGGAAAGGAAAGGAAAGAAAGAAAGAAAGAAAGAAAGAAAGAAAGAAAGAAAGAAAGAAAGAAAGAAAGAAAGAAAGAAGAGCAAACTAACAGAGGTAACCTAATTAAGAAAGTGGTGCTGGGGACGGCCGGTTAGCTCAGGTGGTCAGAGCGCAGCTCATAACACCAAGGTTGCCAGTTCAATTCCCACATGGGACAAGGAGCTGCGCCCTCCACAACTATCGTAGATTGAAGACAACTACTTGACTTGGAGCTAATGGGTCCTAGAAAAACACACTGTTCCCGAATAAAATTTCTTAAAAAAAAAAAAGCAAGTGGTGGTGATGGAAGGCATCTCTGAGGAAGTTAGATCTAAACCAACATCTGGAGAATTCTACATTAGCCAGACAAAGGAGGGTGGAGGGAAGGGCCTTCCAGGAAAATGAAGGACACCTTGGAAGGCCTTGAAGCTGAGTGTAAGGTGAATGGAAAGAGTGGACAGGGGGTTGGAAGGCAGAGCTCTATCATGGAAGGCCTTGTAGATCATGAGGAGTTTGAACTTAATTTTGAGTACAGAAGGCATTGTAAGGTTTTAAGTGGGGGAGTGGCATCCTCCCATTTATGTTTATAATAAAGAAAGGTCACCCTCTAGCTGTCATGCAGATTGGACAGAGGGAAGCAAAGATAGGAATAGGGAGATCAGGAGGCTACTGCAGTACCCTGGCAAGAAGTTAATGGAACCTTGGAATCGGTTATTGGCTATAGAGCTGGAAGACCTGAGCTGATTTAAAATGTAATTTGAACGTAGAAATAATAGGACTTAGAGTGATTATGGGAGTAGGAAGGAGGTGTCAGGAATGCCCTTCGGGTTTCCAGCCTGAGTGACTAGGTGTGTGGAGGCACCTATTACTGAATGAAATGAGGAACACCAGAGGATGAGCAGGTTTTTAGGGAAGGAAGAGCACATTTTAAAAAATATTAAATATTGAGATGCTATGAGACAACAGGCCTTTAAGGGGTGATCCACAAAACATGATGCAATTGTAACACTGGCAATTTCTTAGGCTTGCAGAGTGGCACTTGACATAATGCAATACATTTTCCAATAAGCTTCACAGCAACTCTGAGACAAGCATGAATTACTATCCTCATTTTACAGACATAAACAGAGGCTCTGAAAGGTGTGGTATTATTCATTTAGTCTTTGCCGGAAAATACTATATTCCAGGCCATGTGCCAGGCAGTGAGTAGGATATAAGGTAGAAGACATAATACCGTCTCAAGGGTGATATAATCAGATAGTGTCATGACAATACTCCTCCCCTGAAACACTCAGTCCCCTATTCTTAGGTACACACGTCTCAGGACAGGAAGCCCTGTCAGTTATTAGACAACTCCAGGACATAAAGACCCAAAATGCCCAGTCTGAGCCATTAGACATCCTCAAAGTGGAGTAAAATTTGTAGAGAAGGAGCTGAGATGAGGGATGCACAGTGAGCTGAGCACCTGTCTCTACAGTGCTTTGCTGAATATAACCCGATGTTTTATAGAAGAGACCCTAGAATGGCTTGCGCAACTGTGGACCGAATTAATGAGATCAGAGACCTGTTAAAATGAAGTGAACACCATGTGTCCCTATGCCAGTCTATAGGAGGCGGTACAAGGACTGATACTGAGCATACTCTTATCTCCCAGACTCATATCCTTCCAAGTATGTCATTTCCAACTAGTGGAGCTAGTCCTAGCAGGAGCCATAGCAGCAGGCCCTGGGGCCTCAGTTTCATTAAAACATAGCTGAAGCTGATGGCTCACTGCTTTGGGTGCAGGGCATATGAGTAAGGTCACAACTCTCCACTTCTGTTACCAAGATCAAGGCTTAGCTTGACTTATGACAGCTATACTCGCATGGGGGAAAATGACCCAGACCATAAGACTCAACTTTTCTTTCTCCAAAGAGTGTTTTCTTTCTGGAGCCTCAGAACAGAAACCATTTGCTCCCCAGATTTCTCAGGCACTGATTGGATCAATTCCAAAGAGTCTCCATCTCTCCCTCCAAAAGAGGATACACGAAAGCAACAGGGGAGACATATCTAGCCCTCCTTCCCAGCTCTCTTTTGCCCAGCAAGGGCTGCCTAGTCTTGGGCACTGTTTAGAGAGCTCAAAGGGAGGGGCAATAACTCTCACCTTGGATCCATGGCTGCCAGTCAAAGGGCTGTTAACAAGAGGTACCATGTATGTAAACTCTCCTCACCGGCACTGAACCCAAACCACTTGGTAAATTAATTTGATCAAGTCACTGGAGTTGAGAAGCCAGTGAGGGGACAACTGCAGCAGCCTCTCACTCCAGACCCAGGGGGCTTCCCTGGGAGAGAGCCTGAAAACAAAATGCTCCACATCAGACAGGCACTGACGCAAGAATGAGCATTCAATCTGGACAGCAAATCCTGCCTTCAAGGCATTGAGATTTATTGAAAAACTACATACATATTAAAACATCTTTATATACATTTTTCTCATTACAAGATTACAAATATACAAATGTAAATTCTGTCCAAGTCAGCATCTTGTGTGTTAGCAACAACTGGAGAAAATCTATACCCTCATTTCATCAATTAAATTGGTGTCCCCCATCTGCCAATAAAACGAACTGGTACAATTCATCCAACTTCCCAAGCCCAGCTCCTGACAGTGAAACCACATTGTTTACATGGACTGTTTTTCCAAAGCAGCAATGATGCTCAGTTCTGAGGGCAAAACAAAAAAAATCCTGTCTAACATCTGAGTGCCTCATGGTAGTTTAAGGAAACTCAGGAATGATAGCAATTCTCTTAATAATATTTTGATTAAAGTCCATCATGGTCTTCTCTCAAAATAAGTAATAAAGCATTCAATTGTCCTCTGACTGGTTAGGGTAATGTACTCCACCCATTTGAATGCAATAATAAATAATGGTTATATTCCTTTTTGTCAGGAAGAGAAGGGAGGTCCTTGAGCAATAGTGTTTCAAATCAAAATTCAGTCCCAGGAGAGAGTTCTCTGCCCCTTGGGATAGCTCATGTGGACAGACACAAGCTGTAACCCTTTATCTTTATCCTCACAGTCCAGAAAATTGGGGCCCAGGTCTTTCTGACTTGGGTACCAGTTTGAGTCCTTATTATAAAGGAAGCAAAGGTTAATTGGGAACTTGGGGCTGTCTTGGGAAGAGGCGTGCAAGAAAATGGAAGGGGCAAGACTAATAAAACAGCCAATCGTGTGGTTCCCTGGTCCTCTGCCTAAGAAGTCTCTCTTTCACTGAGTCCTGGTCACCATGGTGCGGAACTTCGGGGTGTGAAGGAGTCAGGCTGGTATTAACAGTCACTCCTTTCTGTAATTTTCTGCAACGCCCCACTGTTTCCTCCTCCTCCTCTTACCACTCCTTTCACAAAGAGGTATCAACTCAGGAAGCTGTTAGGATAAAATGTCAAATGTTTAATGGAGGAAGTAAGTCTTCACCCAAGTGTCCCACGAGTCAATGTTGTAAACACTGCAGAGTTAAGATTCATGGCCAACCCGGGGAATACTACTAGGAAAGGAAAGAGCCATCCAGAGCCATGCAGAGGAAAGAACTGGAATCTCTGTCAGCCATCTTAATGCACTGATGTTGAAGGAAGGGCAGAATCATCCACGTGAGCATCAATTCCAACTTTCAATGCCAGAAACTTCTCAACGCAGTTTCAGTGTAGGTGCTGGCACCCTTGATGATGTTAGCTTTCCAAGTATCTAAAGATGCTTTGCTTCGATCCTGAAGCACTATCACCTGTTTTGAGGCGCTTAGGTGAAGGAGTTTTCATTACAGATGGACCCTTTCTCCTCACCTAGAGAGCAGAGAGCAAAGAGAAAGTCAAGGCCAGCTCAAGACCCTCATCCAAGTGCTTACCTTCAATTAGCTCTTCAGCAAGTCATCACTAAATCATGGATGATTAACAACAGAAAAACAAGGAAGAAATATAAACTTTTCAGACAAGTTTCAACACTGATTACCTGCTGGGGGTAACAATCCCCTTGTACCTTACTGGAAAGTGCAAGATTAACACTGCAGCATAAGCTTTCAACCTGGAATCTGTATTTTTAAATTAAAAAATAAATTCTGCTTTGGAAAGTCACCAAATCAATTATCAAATTCCCTACCCGCGGCTTAGACGATTCCTTTGCTGCCTCAGCCTTGACAGGAGAAAGTGTGTGGAAGACAAAGTTTCTTGAATTTCGGGGAGCACTGGGGTTGAGGTCAGAGAGGGCGGCCAGTTTCTGCAGCACAGCTTTGGGCTGGTTTAGCAGTGAGCCTGTCTTCAGCTGAGGAAAGAAGAGTCATTTGGTATCAAATTCCAAGTGCCAAAGAAAGAATGAGAAGTGAGTCTGTCCCTGCCCCCTCAGGTACTGAGGGGACACATTTCTACCCCACTCGGTAGAAAATAGGAGGGTCCTTCGCCATCTAGTTCCATTTCCTGCAGCCGCCTCCCTCCCCTAATGACAGCATTCCCCTAGCATGACCTGGGCCTTTATAACATGGTGGATCATGATGTCAGGCTAACAAGGTCCTCAACCAACCTGGTGGGCACTTCCCGGTCTGATGGCTTCAAAAGGATTTATGAGTAAAGACTTTGGTTCTTCAACAACCACAGGGCGATTGGCTGAAAAGAAAAGACAGAGAGGCTTGTTCTGGGCAAAACTGGGTAGAATTATTTTTAAATCTAAACAAGCTAAGGAGCCTTTAACAAAACCAATCAATTAAAGCCACAGGTATATACATATATAACCTCGGGACATGGAGTAGAGTGCGGGAACGGATTCAATGGAATTGTAATAGATAAGCATGATATCGGGGGTGGGAGGGCAGTGGATGGGGGGAGGGGGGTTGTTACTTTGTGAGGGTGAAAAGGGTAACTATTGCATTGTTCTGTACACCTGAAACTAACAATAAAAAATAAAAAATAAAAAATAAAAAAAAAGCCACAGGAACTCTTGATTATTTCATAACAGTGACTTGAAACTAAAGTAAGTGGCTACGTGAAGGAAGACAACCAAGCTGAACTTATTGACTAATCACTAACAGTAATAAGAAAAGATGTAAGTGCTTAAGAATGTGGAGTAGTGTTTAAGAGCCTTAACTCTGGGGTTAGATATATCTGGGTTCAAATTCCAGCTCTAACACCTAAGTATAGAATCCTGGGCAGCTAAATAAAAAACCCAGAATTCACTCCTCTGAACAGTCTTAGAGCATAAAGCAAAGGCAGCTATCTATACACACAAGGACAACATCCACTGCCCAAGAGTCTAAGAGCCAAGAACAATGTCTCTCTCACCTCTGCAGGGCCTCCTTAAGACAGTATTAGACACAGACCCATAACTAAGCTGCAACAGCCCCTGAAGGTTGGGGTCACCTCCAAGGCCCTAGCACTAACCATCCAGAGGACTAGACCCTGAGAAGGAGGACTAAAAGCTCACCATTTTTCTGCAGCGCTTTGGCTGTAACTTTCTTGGCCAGCATCATAAACTGACTGTCTTCCCCAATTTCTTCTTCGTCTTCTGCTGCAATTTTCCCCTGCTGTGCCTGCAAACCAAAATCAGACAGCATTAACAGAAGTCTACAGTTCCCCCAAATGGTGAGCACAGCCTGGACTGTGAAGCGAAGGTATCTGGGATATCATTTGTTTTCCTTTTTCCAATCTTTTGTTGCTTTAGGGAGAATAAAATTGATTTTGGACAAACAAACATGAAGAGAATTGCCCATGGTAAACCTTCTCAAAGCACAAAAGAAAATTCAAGGATTAAAAGGGACAGCAAGCTTTGTCCAAGATTTTGAAACTACCATGACAAACTCGGTGATTAGGTCCTCTCCTCGTGCACTAGGGTCGGAAGAGGCGAATTTCTTGCAAACTTCCTACCTGGTCCCGAAGCCACTGCTCTCGTTCAATTCGCTCCTTCCTCCATCTGGCTTCTGTCTCATCAAGCTGTTCTTCGATCTGTTCATCATCAGAGTCTCTGTGGAACAAGTCCATCTGGGAAGCATCATCTAAAGCAAAGAGTTAAGGCTATCAGCATGCTGCAATTCCCATAGGAGGGGATGCCTGGACAGACACAAATGAACTCATCATTTACCGCACACCAACACAAACTTTTCCCAACCACTGGTAGATGATAATGGTTGCAGCCGGGTCCTCCATAACAGCCTGCTATAGTTTTGATTTCCGCTTGTCATCTTAAACTAGACAAACACACACATTGTACCATTTGCTTCTAAAGGCAACCAGCAAGATACCTAGGTTTTTCCATCGGAATTTCCTCATGCGCCCAGGACCATCACTGTGCAGATCCCCATCAGCAAGGTACCTCTCCTGGTACAAACGGAGCTGTCGCTTATCATCATCCAACATCGTTTTCCTACAACAGGAGAAGTAGGGTGTTCAAATCCAGGACCACTTTGGCTGGTTACAGAGCCTGTCGTGAGACACACCCCATTACTCAGAAGGACTTATTGGGATACTGACATGTGTATTTTCTTGATTTGACTCTGCAGTTCCTCATCTGAAGGAAGTACTTCATCAATTACATCCTCTTCGTATTCATTAATTTCTTCCCCATCATACTCGTCTTCACTTCCCACATCACTCCCTGACACCTCTGCCTCATCTTCCAGGTATTTCTGCAATCGCCTGGAAAATGATTTTGAAGATTAAAAAATGCAACAATGGATACACGTGATTTTTTAAAAAAATGAATACACACACAGAGTATTCAAGCAATGAGAAACACAGAACATTGAGCCACCACTAATAATAATAATAATAGACTTTATAGTAGTACATTTTGATAATACCTAAAAGTCTATCACTTAATAATACTGTGTGCCAACAACTGTGCTTTATGGGCATCATCGCATTATCTCAGGAGGGGGGTATTATCATACCCTTCAAGTTATAGTTGAAGGAACTGAGACTCAGAGAGTAAACAACTTCACACAACCAGGAGGCAGCAGAGCCTGGATTCAATTAGGTAGGTGACTTTAAAGCCAAAACTGTCAATCTCCTGTATAAACTTGAGACACACCTGCTAGAAGGTTCAAACTATCTTGTTTTGTGTTTAAGCTCACCAGCTTTAGGAGGCAGACTAGAGATAGTATGGGAGTAAACAGACTGGGATTTCTTATAGTCCACCAAATCTCGACCCCCAAGTTAGAGGCATGACTGAGGCCCAGAGTTACTGGTAACCAAAACCACTACTAATTAGTTTTCCCGACTTCAGTTCCCACTGAGAACAAAACTACTGTCACTCGGGGTCCAAAGTACTATTATCGATGATCATGAGTAGCCGAAGTTTGATGGCTTTCTGAAGGCTGATTTTCATCATAGACTTATTTTTTTTTTAAGCTGAGTTTCTCCAAATCCTAGGATTTCTGGGAATTCCTTCAGGGGCTACTAGCCACTAAGCTTCCCAATTTTCCCATCTACCCTTCGAGGAGTTCAACTTTTAGTTGTTATTCTTTATAAGATTTCATTTGAACAAAGGACTCTGCTGTTAAAGAAGGTTTAAGAACCACTGCCTTAGAAAAATCTATAGATGACCCAAAGCTGTATGAGATAGTTAACTTGACAGGTGATAAATTAGAACCCAAAAGTGGTCTTAATAGAATGAGATGATGGGCTAAAAACAGTATAAATCTAATAGGGATCAATACAATGTCTTATATGTGAATTCCAAAAGCCATCCCCATACAATATAATATTAAATACCTATTAAAATGTATTTTACAAAACATATAACATCATAGGGAATTGCTCATAAATATGCTAAGTGGGACAGAAAGCAAAATTGTACATGTAAAAAAGTTGTAGAGATTTCAACTATACAAAACTATATGAACAAAAAAGGTTATGAGGCAATAACCACCATGAACACTTTCATAAATATTCTGGATGGTGGACATGGGTGACTTTTTATTTCTATCTTTCTATATTCTTTTAAAGACTAAAATAAACTGGTTTGCTTTCATGATCAGTACAACAAGAAAACATTAAAAAAATAAATAAATGGGGGTCATTTGCCCAAGACAAGGCTGAGGAAAACCTGGAATGACAGTAATTCACAGGAAAAAAAATCCAGGGAATTATAGTTGTCTACTCGATCCTTAGGGTCTGTGACTCAGTGCTTATGGCCTTCGGTTACATTCTCAGTAGTATGCATCCAGAACAAGGAATGTGGTTGGAACACTACATACAGCAGTAATCAGACCACACCTGAAAATAAAGAGAATATCCAGGACATGATGAGTATGGAAACAATGCCATGTGAGAAACACCTGACGGAATTGGAGTTGTTCAGTACAGAAATCACTTAAGGAGGACAGGACCATCTTGGGATACTCAAGAGCTATCATATGAATGGATTTTATTTAACCTGTGCTAACCACAAAAGGCAAAAATAGAACCAGCAAACTTAGGTAAAAAGGTGGCAGGCTACAAATCAGCTGTTAGGAGAACTTTCTAGCAATTGAAGGAATGGACCTAACACCTACATTTGCCTTTTCAATTTCTCAGATTGCCTCAAGAGCTCTTCTTCATCGTCACCTCTGTCGTCTTCCAGTGCCACATCTTCATTATCAGAGTCACTGAGTTCATCCTGCAAAATCATATAGGGTCACACCCAAAGTTATACAGAATAAAATGTGTCCTCAACTAAAACAGGATTCATAAACTTCTGCCCAAACATCCTATTCTAGGAAATTGCTTCTGATAAGATGCCAACCTTAGAATTCTCAAAAACTCGAACTAGGAAAAAACAAAAAAAACAAAACCATACAGCAGCAATACATAAGAGTTCAGTTATGAATACTTTTCGCTGCAAGCTCACCTGATCACTATCAAACTCATCATTTGGGACAAGCCGAAAGTCTCCAAATTCCTCCTCTTCACCTTCTTCTTCCCTAAAATGCACATCAACAAATCAATGAATAAGTTGTTGAAAGCAAACTACAAGAATGTAAGAATTGGAAGATTTTATTAGTACCAACAATCTCTTCAAGAAACAGAAAACAAGATTATCATGCCTTAAAAAAAATTTTTTAAATTGTGATAAAATACACATAACATAAAATTTACCATCTTAATCACTTTTAAGTATACAGTTCAGTAGTGTTAAGCACATTCACAATGTATAAGGTTGTGACACGGTACATGTTACAAGGTTGTTTGCAATCAACCTCCAGAGCTCTGTCATCTTGCAAAACTGAAACTCTACACCCTTTAAAAAGCAACTCCCCATTCTTCCACCCTCCCCAGCCCCCACCCCTCAGCTCCCTCTACTTTCTGCCTCTATGACTTTGACTATTCTAAGTACCTCATATAAGTGGAGTCATATAGTATTTGCATTTTTGTGACTGGCTTATTTCACTTAGCATAATGTCCTCACAGTTCATCCGTGTTGCAGCATATCAGAGTTTCCTTTCTTTTTAAGGCTGAATAATATTGTGTACACACACACGCACACCACATTTTGTTTATCCACTTGGGATGCTTCCACTTTTTGACTATTATGAATAATGCTGCCATGAACATGGGTATACAAACATCTATGAGTCCCTGTTTTCACTTTTGTATATATGCCCAAAAGTGGTATTGCTGAATCATATTCTATTTTTAATTTTTTGAGGACCTGCCATACTGTTTTCCATAGCAGCTTCTTTTTACATTCCCACCAACAGAGCACAAGGGTTCCAATTTCTCCATATCCTTACCAATACTTGTTATTTTCTGGGGTTTTTTTCCTTTCTTTTTATAGGAGCCATCCTAATGGGTGTGCAGTAGTATCTTATTATGGTTTTAATTTACATTTTCTTAATTATCAGTGATGTTCAGCACTTCCCTTTGCTTACTTTTTGCCTTTGTTTTTTGTTTTACAAGTTTCTCCCAATCACTGAGACTCACCTGTCTGTTGGGAAAGAGCCTGAACAAAGAGCAAGTGCTTCTTCCATTGGATCACCTATGCTGCCTTCCTTCTCCTGCTTATTTAACTCCGATGGAGCCAGGGTGGAGGCAACTACATCATAACAAAGAAAAAGATTTGTCACCAAGGAATGGCAGCTTGATCCTTTCCCCAGCCATCTAAAGACATGCCAGCTCAATACAGTGCTAAGGTAGGTAAACTTGCTAAAAAGAGCTCACCAGCTATTCATTCATTCATTCATTCATTCAACAAACCCTTATTTAGTGCTTATGTGCTAGGCACCAGGGATACAGGAGTGAACAAAACAAAGATCATAACGCCCACAGAGCTTACATTATAGCAGAGGTGTCTGGGGGAGAAAGGGGTGTGCAGGTGGACATAATAAGTTAGCATTTATATAAAGTGCCCTACACACCAGACACTTTTCTAAGCTTTACATATATGGATCATAAACAACAAATCATATGGCCAAAGCTAGAACATTCTTTTTTTTTTTTTTTTTTTTTTTTTTTTAGCTGAGCCATCCCGCCACCTGTTGGCAGCTCATGGCTGCTCAGCTCGGGCTGACTCGAACTGCTGTTGCTCAGAGCTCAAACTCTTGAGCGAGCTCTTAACCAACTGAGCCACTCAGCCGGCCCTTAGAACATTCTTAAGTCAACACTTTATCACCCTGAGAAAATAATGGCTCTAAAGGTCAGGGAGCTAAGCAGTGAATTCAACCCACATGCAAGAATCCATAACACTGTTTTCTGTAAACTTTTCACCCAAGAGTTAGGGGCTCCTTTTCAAGGATACTGACATAAGATGTTTGGCTGCAGTAAGCCTGATGCTCATTGCTGGGTATTTACCCTGAGAAGTGAATTTTCCTGAACAAAGATTCAAAAGTTCCTCCATGTTCTCTTTCTTGTCGCTCTTCCTGGGCAGAGCTTTTTCAGCCTGAGATGTGAACTTTCCAGTACACAAATCCAACAGCTCATCCATGTTGGCGTCCATGGCATTCTCATCCATACTGGCCAATGGCAATCGAGGCTTCAAAGCTTGGTACTGGTTCCTGTGGTTTCTAACATTTAAGAACCTACAAGCACAATGAAGAATGTAAGAAACTCTTTAAGGAAAAAACAAAGCAGTGGGTGAAAAACTCTGCTCTCATTTCCAATAGCAAAGTTAGAAGCTGAATCCCACACCAGAAGACAAAAGATTCAACCTTTAGCCTTGTGATGATCTAAAGAGAGAGGGGGAAGTTTTATGAAAGAATAAATGCTATTCAAAAGGTAAAGAGTAAAAGATAATTTTGGCTTCAGATAACGCTAGAGCTAAGGGGTTGGGGCTGTGTCCACGAAACGTGCCACAGGCCTGTCAATTCTCAATCCCACAATCATAACATCAGAAGACAGATATAAGGAAATTTGATGCCTTGACAAGAGCTATGCATTTCAAATAAGGCAGAGATCGAAGGATCAGAATGCCAGCAAGGGCTATTTAGGTTTTATTTTCTGGAGGGACTTTGCTCAAATTTGTAGAATGTAAATACTAATGATCTGTACACCTCTTTCGCAGAAGAAAAAGCACAGATGGAGTGACAGAAGCTCACTTTATTTTTAAGCAAAATTAAGCAGTACCCAGCACCATCCCACCCACAGAAACATAAAACTACCTACCCATCTGCATCCAACAGTTGGCTCTGAGTGTCATCTTCTAAACAGAACTGGAAGTCTCCTGCTCCTAGGAAAAGTGTCTTGGGCTCTGGGGAGGCGTTATACAGATCCTGGGAATCCTCTATGGGAAGTGAAGGCTCAGACAGCTTTCCTGAACTCTGGCGCCGAAATAAAACCAAACAAAAACATTTTACAAATGTCATTCACTGTCATGACAACAACAGAAGTTGCTATTTGCAATATTTAGTCTACTCTCAGGCAATTGCAGTTGAGGAGGACAATGCATAGCCAAGAGGAGCATATAGAAAAATATCTCCCAGAAAGTCAGAACACTGGATGGAGCTCGTGTTTAATACACAAAGGGGGTGGATTTTTAAACTGAACATACATAATGTGGTGGGAGTTGGTTGGATTGGACACACTTTATTTAGCACTGTGGGAAGCAAAAGGGGGAGGAAATCAGAAAACCATTACCATCTTACCTTAGAAGCTGAGCTGACCAAACTGGCTCGAAAGAGCCCAGGGGAAGGAGATCTGAATCCTGCTGCTGTTGGGAGAAAACTAGCCCCACGGCCTGTTTGTCTGTTGCAAGGCTGATAGGATGGAATTGTAGAGGCAATCAGCTCAAAGCTGCTATTGTGGCTGCTTTCCTTTGTTAGCAGTGAGCATGAATCATCTTCATCTAAAGAAAGGGAAGTAAGTTTTAAGTGTGTGATTCCAAAAATAAGGTGGATTTGTTTAGGAAAAAGAGTTGAGAGTGAAACTGTCAGGTAACAGTCATAGGCAAACCTCTCAAGTTATATGTTCCAAAACATTAAGTTAAAGGTAAATTATAGTACTAAGATAGCATTATACAGTCAAGGTTTATCACTCTGAGCTAAGCAACACATGAACGTTCCTGTCTGTCACCCTGCCTAAGCCTACTATCACTCAGTCCATTATCCAATCACTTATACCTCTTCCTGGTCTACATGACAGAAATGTTTCATGGTTCACGCAATCAACACATATGCACTACAGACCTATTGTATGCCAAGGGTCACCTCTAAAGAAACTCCGTGTAAGTGCTCAAAAACTGAACCAAGAAATATATTCAAATTCGTCAACTGCTTTCACTGCCACATGGAAGACTGGGAAAAGTCCAAAGATTCAAAACATGGAACCGAATAGAACTGTAGTCCTGAAGTATCAAAGCTGGAGGATCAAAGAAAAGTCAAGCTCTGCATTCGAGTCACTACTTACCCAGTTTGCTAGGTCTTTTGCCTGAGTTTTCATCTGTTTCTGACTTTTCTTCACTAGGAAAGTACAAAATAAGAAGATAAATTGTTTGAGTATCTATTGCTGCTTCTTATTAAGAGGGGCCAATCCAGGGGAATCTTATCTTTTCTTAGTGAGAATTACTTACTCCATCTTGGAAGAGTTGTCCTTAAATAGAAATAAGGTAGAATCTGATGACAGAGGCTTGAGAACAGATAGAAGGCCAACTGACTTGCCAGTTTCACTACTGTCATCATTGTTTTCTTTATCCATTTCTTTCTCATCTTTGCTTTCTATTTCTTCATTACTGAGAAGGAATTCTGCAACCTTTATCAATCATACCGCCCCAAAACAAAATAATACACGTCAAAAAACTTTAAAACACAGTGTTAGCCTGAAATATGGCTGTCTGGTCACAACTTAAATCTGAAACGGTGAATATGAAGGAAGCTCAGTCTAACCATTATGGTAACATAATTTTCTGACACTTTTAGAGCTCTTTTATACTTACTTTACCTTTATTCCTCCCCAAATTGCTACAAGATTATGAAGACTAAAATTACTATTTTACTGTGGCAATGAAAGGTTAAATGATTAGCCTGAGACTTCAGGAGGACTACTGACCTCAAACCAACCAGACTGACATGCTGTCCAGTTAAGCCACTGTTTTCTTCTTCCTTTACGCAGGTTAAATATTAACCAATTCTTTCGAGTGACTCCAGCCTTCAAAGCAGGAAACTTTTTTCTCTGTTACCCAAAATCCTATCATCATCTATCGTCCCTTGGCGCAAAACAATATTATGGGACAAGGGCAAGAGCCTCTCTACAAATACGCTCCTCAACGAAGAATGAAATGAGCTCAGGAAGGTCTCAGCCTGCCTGAGAATTCCTTTCGACCTCAGCCTGGCCAAGGTCAAAATTGCTTTTTATTCTGCACAGAGAAACCTAAATAAACAACAAAGATGAAAGTCCCTGTTCATACAAAGCCATCTCAGTATCAGCATTATGTTACAATATGGAAACGAACACAAGCCATAGCTCTGTGAACCGCAGGTGCGCAGTGGTGCCAGCAGAACTGAAGGCACTAGGATTTAGGTACTACATCTGAGGAGCTGCGTCCATCTTTGCCCCTAAAATCGCTTATACAGTTGAATATGCTTATTATCCTCATATTCAAATCTGATTTTCTCTCCCTTACTTGTCATGACCAAGTCCCAAAATTACATAATTGCCACAAACCTCCTGATTGGCTTCTTCCTCCTCTTCCTCCTTTCCTTCTTCTAACTTTTCCTCTTCCTCCCCTTCTCCATCTTCCTCAGACTCATCAGTCATTTCTTCTTCCTCCTCCTCCTCCTCCTCTTTTTCAAATCCATCTTCATTATCTAAGTTAAACAATGCCTGGCGCTTTTGGCGCTCCTCCAACCTTCGGAGTTTCATTGCTTCTTGCAGTTTAGCTTTCAGCATCTGAAGCTTTTCGCCTGAACAGAAAACGTGAAGAAATGCTTTAGACATAACGACTGACTACGTACTTCAGTAATATGAGTGTGCGTTTTAAGCAACTCCAGAAGTGTGCTAGTCATATCCCAAAAGGGAAATCAGAGACCTTAGTATTCTAGGCTTTTGTTATTTTAACAAATTATGAATAGAAGTGTAAGAGAATTCCCAGAATTATGTTCTACACCCTGGGATGATATACTTCATAGAGATTATAAAATTATTATTAAAAGGGCAAAGAAAGTGAGAGGAGTGGGACGTCAAGAGTCTGGCTCAGAAGCCATGAAGGAAAACATTGATAAATTTATCTATATTAAAGAAAAAGAGAAACAATTCAAGAGTAAAATAAGCAAAGGATATGAACTGGGCGTTCACAGAAAAATGAACATACATTGTTAGTAAGAAAGTTAAAAATAATGCTTAACCTCACTTCTAATTAAAGATACAAACCAAAATAATGAGATATCGTTTATGACATATTTTGTAACAATTAGAAGGTTTGATAGCATGCATTAACAGGAGGAAACAGGAACTCTTACACTGTGAATCAGTATAAATGGGTGCAACTATCTTGAAGAATAATGAGGTATATATCAAAATTTGACTCAATGACTCCACTGTAAATAATTTTGTATCCAGATATACCAACATAGATCTCATACTAGGATGTAACATTGTATGAAATACCAAAAACTGGAACAAACAAGATGTTCATTAATAGGAGTATGGTTAAACAAGTCATGCTATATTCACACAGTGGAATATTATGCAGCTTTTAAAAAATTCCCAAAAGCAACATAATGTGTATCTGAGCTCTGGAGTTAGGTGGTCTGCATTAGGCAGCTGGTCCTACTACTTGAGCAAGCTGTGTAAATGCTTTGTATATACTTTCTTCATACATAAAATAAGGATATGAATATTATTTACTGTAAAGCGCCTAGAGCAATGCCTAGCAGAGAGTAAATATTCAATGTCTCTGTCGCTTGCTCTCTCTCTCTCTCTCTCTCTCTCTCTCTCTCACACACACACACACACACACACACACACACATACACACACACACACACTGGTATATGCATATGAATTTTCCTACAACACAAAAAAAATGTTAACAGTTGCCTTTGGGAAGATAATTTTTCATTTTATACCCTTTCCTCAGTGTTTTACATTTTTTTCTACGTGACACATTACTCGTATTTTCAAAATGGAAGTGGGAACAACAGACTTGTCCTTAATACGTTGTCAAAACAAAAAAGCAGATTACAAAGCAGAATGAATGGTATGATCACATTATTGTTTCTTTTTAAAACACACATATGTACACGCATGCAAAGAGTTTAAAAGGACGGATGTAACAATATGGTCATAGAAGTCACCTCTGACAGGATTGTAGAAGTTTTTGTTTATTCTTTCTATGCGTTTTCCACAATGGATATTTAGTTTTTTAAAAATAAGACAAAGGCTATCTTAAGAAATAAAGTCATCTTACCCACCCCACACATCTAGGCAATGGTACATGTGAATCATGCTAGAGGTACTGCTGTCCAATCTCCAAAATATCCAAGAAAAAAGATTCTGTAACTCTTCATTGTAAGGGTACTTCAGTGGCCATAAAGACCTGCCAGAATACAAAGCATTAAAGCAAACAAAAGGAAACTCAAATACCTGGCTTTGTGTGGCTTACTCCATCCAGCTTCTCAGCTGCCAAAGTCACAGGCACCACATCGGCCTTCAGCTCTTCCTTTCCGTCAGTGCCCACATCTTTCACTACAATGTTCACATTTACCTTCTGACCGGCCCTGGGTTTGGCTGCTGGATTCGCATGCTTCCAGAAACGCTGCTTCAAGGCTTCCAGTTCTAAACCCAAAGGTCAAACAGTATGTCAGTTTGCCCCGCTCAAGCTCTTTAAGATTCCAATTCAGAATGATAAGCAAGTTTTACAAGCTGGACAAAGTTGTAGAAAAAAAAAAAAGCCACATACAATGAGACACCAAACACTCCTCTGCTACTTAACACCTGTGTCGAATTCCTATAACTTAACCCAAACCAGTGGACGGCTGCAACTGTTTTTCCTCAAGATACTTCAAAAATCACTTTAGGGAAGAAATTTACAACTGATATTTCCAAATACGTGCAATTCTTTTTAAAAAGTATCAAACTGGTAGAAAAAAATACCATAATTCTCAATTATTCAAGGGCTTAATTTTTCTTTGGGTTCAGTCTTCTTTTTAAAAATTCCCTATTTTGGAGCGGCTGGTTAGCTCAGTTGGTTAGAGCAAAGTGCTCATCACACCAAAGTTGCCAGCTCAGTCCCCACATGGGCCACGGAGCTGAGCCCTCCACAACTAGATTGAAGACAACTACTTAGAGCTGATGGGTCCTGGAAACACACACTGTTGCCCAATTTAAAAAAAAAAAATTCCCTATTTTGAACATTTCACTATTTATTAGCAGTCTTACTAAGTATGGGCAATGCCAATTAAAAAAAAAGAAAATGACAATCAATCTAGTCAGTGATATAACTCAGCAGCAGGCCTAGAAATGTTTCTCGGTGAAACTGTTATACTATCACAATCAGTACAATCAGAAAGGAAATCCCACATACAGGTGGACCCTGCACCACACACCCAACTTGTATACAAGATAACTAGTAAAGAATCTATATAGCAGGTACTTAAAAAATAGGTTTCTTCCTTTTCCTGTCTCTCCGTCTAGGACTATTTCGGTAACTTCTAGTCCCATACAACAAAATTTAGCAGTTTCTAGTACAGTAAGTACTCAAAAAGTGTTTCTTCCCCATCTCTTAGTCTGGAACTGTTTAGATAACTGCTATTCCCATATAAAACTTTCCCTCCGTGTTCTGGAAAACAGCTCACTCCCACACTTCTTTGCTAATGGAGCTATGCTAGTTCTGTTACACCACCCTTGCACCCAGCCTCCTGCTCCAGTCAAAACGACTTACACACCCTCCCAATATGTACCATGCGGAGCTCTTTCTGTCCCTTCCAAGAATGTCCTTCTCTCCACTTCCACGAAGTCCATCCATCCAATCAACAAAGACTCACTGAGCGTATTTTATACACCAAATACTGTGGCTGACATAGTGCTGCCAACCATAAGCTGTTTAATAAGGAGAGTTCTGCTGTATTAATTTCACTAACAATATTAGAAGTGGCAACCACTATTTGAGTGCATCTTGATACTAACTGTATGCATGATTTCAGCAAATCCTCATACTAGTCCTGTGAACCAGATAGTACTATTATTTCTTTTCTTTTTTTTTTTTTTTTTAAGAAAGCTGGCTTAGAGGCCAAATAGCATACTCAAGGTTAAATAGTAAGTAGCATAGTCTCGATTCAAACCGTGGTCTTCCTATAGAACACAAGCTCTTAATTACCATGCCACAATGCCTCAACATAGAGGGAACACCCAATTCTACCTACGAGTCAGGACATTTACCTAATGTGGAAATATTAGAGTTCTTTCTTGAAGGATATTCATTCGTTTAATTAATACGAATGCCTACAATGTGTCACCTACTGTGGAAGCACTGGGGATAGATGGGGACAAGCCAGAAGACCCCACTCAAAATATAAAGGGGAAGGCAGTGAACAAGAAATTGCATCCACCTTCAAGCCTTCCTTTAACCACCTATTGGAAGAAACCTATCCCTCCTCTGAGCTCCCACAGCATTTTATTCTAAATATTTTTCAGCAGAGATCACTTTTCCTTTTTCTTCACATTATTTTTTTGCAATTATCAGTGACACATTTGTTATAAAATATGTCACCACTTTCTCTCTTGTATACTTATCTTCCCTACGAGAGTGTAAGTACCGTAAATGGAGGATAATTATCAGATTTCTCTTGGTAAGCTCTACAGCATCTTGCATGTAGTAGATAGTTTAATATTTGTTGAATGAGTGAAAAAAAAATGTTCAGTTTTGCAGACAATTTCCTGAACCAAAATGTTTCTCTTTAACTATGTAAAACTGAATAGTAATGCTTTTATAGTACATACCGTAATAGCAATGTACTTCTTTTGTATATTAACCTGTCAACAGGCTTCCATTTTAAACAAGGTTTAGAACATTCTGACACCCTTCCAAATTTATCTATGGGCTTCTACCCATATCTAGTACAGACATATCTGAGTGATATTGTGGGTTTGGTTCCAGACCACTGCAATAAAGCGAGTGCTGCAATAAAACGAGTTGTGACCTTTTTGCTGGTGGAGGGGCTTGCCTTCAATTTGTAAAAAAAAAACCAACATCTGTGAAGTACAGTAAAGTGAAGCGCAATAAAATGAGGTGTGCCTATATACCTCTAGATAAGATAGTGTGTGGTTATTGGTTTCCCCTGCATTCCCTGTCCTCGAAAGCTGCCAGAATAAATCACTCTGGAGAGGCTCCCCACAATTCAAAGGATTACCTCTGTTGGTTTCAGGTTCTTCAAGTATCACAAAGGAATCTTCATCAGCACCCAGCCGAGGTTTAACGAAAACATCCACTCCCAACTGTTTAAGTCTATCCACAGTAAACCGCCTCATTTTCTCAGGCGGCACAACTGCTGCTGACTTAGTTTGTTGCCTGGGCTCTTCCACTTTCTCATCTGCTTCTTCTGTTTTTTTCAGGTCTTCTTCTAACTCCAGGGCATCAGGTTCAGGTGCCACAGGCCCTCCAGTCTGATCCCCCTCACTGTTCTTGTTCCCCAGGAAGCCAGATTCCTGCTGTGCCACTGACCCGTCACCAGGTAAAGGTCTAGCATCACTCTGCTTCTGTTTTTCCTGAACCCCTAACTCTTCACTTCCCACCGAATCCTTATAGCAAGACTCATCTAATCCAGTAGTGGTCTCGGGTTCCTTTGAAACTGCAGGGAGTGCATTAATTTCCATTTCAGATCCTGCACCTGTTGTCTGCTCAGAATCTTCGTTATGGGGGTCACTGATCATCTCAGTTATGTTTGCGGTGTCTGGGGTTTCTTTGTGATGGCTTGATTGATACCTGGATGACCTAGAGAAGGGGAAATGAGCTAGAGTTGAAAATTATCCTAAATGTGAAACACTCTCATCCTTTAGCATATAATGAATCAGCTCAATCAAGTTTCAGGGTGTAAGGAATCTAAACTTTTTGTTTGCTACAAAACTGAATGTTTATGAGAATTATAATCACAGGAAGGAGGGTTCTTACTTCAGTAGCGCCATGGCATTTCCTTGGCAAGTGGGCCGGGGTTTACGTTTGAAGAAATAGTGAATGGTTTTACTCTCAGGCATATGATACGGAAGATTAAGTGCAGACTCTGTAAAATGGAACAAAACATGCAAATCCATACACTGTATATTCTGAAATGTCACTTCATATTGAGTTAACTAAATGGTACAACCAAAGCCATAACCAGAAATAGAAACTAATCCTGGCTTTACTAAAGACAGGATCTAAGTACAAAAGAATTCCCTGAAGACCAGTGGCTTTTTAACCTGGTTGTGAAGTCAAACAGATCCAGGAAGTTTTTTAAAAATATGGATTCTTGGACCCCCTCTCAAGCCTACTGAAAGTCTGACTTCTGTGGGGATAAGAATTTACATATTTGAAAAGTTCCCAAATGGGTCCTGACGCAGCTGGTTCATAGAAAACCATTAAAACAATCTCCCTCCTTACTACCCAACAGTTCCAGAAATTTTCTCAGTTTGTAGTAATGTCCCAGGAGCTTTAGAACAATGGCCATTCACCAAGATTAATTCTAAACTTGATATTATAATCCAATTCATATTAGGAGTGTTAAAAAACAAAGATCCCCAACATCTAAGTTGAGCTTACAAAGAAATATTGTGATTTGCCTCAAAGTTTATTGTGCTGATTTGTATTACCTCGAATAAGGCGCTGAGTTTCACTATGCAGTTTTTTTAATGCTTCCTTACTTAACTTGGCTGCCTTCCTTTCCTTAAAGAAAACAAAAAGTGAGACTACATTAATGCTATCATTCAGAAAGATATTCACCCATCAAGAGTTTGCTCTCTCCAAGAAAAGAGGATGGAGAGGGAAGTTAACATTAACAAGCTCAATACAATGTAAAGTCAAGGAGCTCATTTATTTGTAAGTCAGATAGAATTAATTCAATCTAATCCATATGTGTGTCCCTCCTATGTACAAAGCAGTATCTTGAGCACCAGAATAATACGATAAACACGAGAAAATATTTATCCCTGAGAAATTTAGTCCTCTGGGGAAAGAGATCAACATGACAACCATAGAATACAGGGCTCTACCTCACCTTCCTCATGGTGCCCTTTGATAACTCACTTTCTTCTTCAAATAAAGAGACCCCACTCTCCAAAGACAGTTCCTTTTTCTAAAAGAGAAGATTACAAGTTGAATGATATGGACAAAAATGAAACTGAAATAAGAGGCTGTTGCTTACTCAAAGAAAGATTGCTTTTGTATTCCAACATTACATCATGCTACATTAATAAATCAATAATTATAAAACAGAAAACTTGAAACAAACAGCATCCTATAATGCCTAGAAGACAAAATGTCTCCAGTGGAGTTTGGGCCCTCATTTCTTATACCTCTGTATTACATCTTTCCCTAAGGTCATACAATGACTCCCAGGGAGCTTAACATAATCTTAGGAAGAATAATTATGCTTCCAAACACTCAGGACAATGATGCTTTGACAGATATGTTTCTTTGATATACTTCCTGAAACCCTATAGGTTCATTTCTTAGAGGCCACAGGATTATACAATTTACACTGTATAACATTACATATAAATTGTATCTGCCCTATTACTTACCGGCTTCTTACACAACATAAAGTATCTTACTTTTTTGCCCAACATTCCTATGAAGGTGATCAAAATACTAGTTTTTCAAACAAGTTAGCCTATCTATCACTTGTACTGATTCCAAAATTAACAGCTGTAAAACTTAAATTGATTGACACATGTTTTCCTTCAGTTGGGAAAAAAAAAATTAAGGCTCCAATAGTAAATCAGAAAATAAAACAAAGGTTAGAAGCAATAGGATAGCTCTTATTGCAATCATCTTTTACTTGCCTTGTGCTTTTTTACTTTGTTTTTCACAGCTGCCCTTATGGATTCTAATGACTCTTCATCTTCCAATGGAGAGTTATTTTCCTCCTCCAACCCAGTTTCAAAAAGGTCATTATCCGCAAGGAGACAACCACTATCATTAAATGGCTGTGTCACATCATCTTCCTGGATAAAGAAAAGCAAACTCCAATATTTCACATTGTATGGCAATTTGGATCAGGCCAGAAAAAAATGCATGTTTCCCCTATAGGCAAAAAAATGGCATTCTAGAACTCCTCACTGATTCCTAACCCACAGTCATACCTTGAAATCCATACTGTGATTTTATGCAACTGTCCAGAACTTAGTCAACAGTAAGTATTTTTGAAAAGTCAATTAAATACATATGAAACGGCTAGTTTATAAAACATGAGGGTGGTTTTTCTAGTTAGCAAACAAGACTTCTGGCTGATGAACACATGAAAAATCCTCCTTTGAAAGTTAATTTTCGTTAGATCAGAAGCTGCAAAGAATTATCCCATGTGCTCACAAAGAAAACCAGAAACCCATTTACCTGGAAGTGCCCTCATATCTGTAATGGAAAAGGACAGCAAGTTTTAAATCACATACCTCATTACTCGCAATGCAAAAATAATGAACTCAAAGCTATATTCTGAGTACAGAAACAACCTCAAAAACTAAAAGCAATCTTTTCTAAAATATGAATCTGCCTTAGAAATAGCACATTGTTCTTTAAAATGTACCTCATTTTTTGTTTCCTTCTTTTTTAGCCGCCTAATTTTTTCCATCTTTTTCTCTTCTTTCTCGAGTCTTCTCTTTGATTTTACTTTTTTTCCTCCAATTCCTTCTTTATCACGTATGGGTTTTTTGGACCTCTTTCTGTCAACAGCAAAGTCCATTGTGTTTTCAGGTTGGAGACTCAGCTCTAAGCAAGGTGTCACTTGGGTTTCAAGATTTTCCTGATACAAAGACTCCTCAATGTCACTTTCATCACTGTCTGCCGGAGTTTTGTGTATCCTTCTGACTTTCCCATTTTTTCCAGCATATAAGTTCTCTTTATTTTCCTCCTCAGCACTGTCATAGGGAGTTTTCTCTGGAGAGGCATTTGTGTTCTCTCTTTCAGAATCACTGTCTTGTAGCACCTTCCTGCTTTTCAATTTCTTACTCACAAATACCTCTTCATCTGAATCTGGAAGAAACAATTCTTTTTAGAGGTCTACTGTCATTCGGCCTTCCTCCTAGCCCCACTCCTCCTCAAAAACATATCCAATTATCCAAGTGACAGATCATCTTGTGAAATTATGTAACTACCATTAAGAACTGATTATAGCAAAGCAAATCTAAAAATACATTTTGAAAAACATTTTCCCTGGAAAAGTGTCTCTTACTGAGAAGTCTAATTATATGTATTTACAATGGGTAAAGTTGTTCTAATCCTTCTGGCAGGTGTGAAAAATTCTTTTATTATAGGATGAATGCATTCAACCAGGCAATGTAGTAGCTTCTAGATATTTCATACATTCAGTGATGTAACAGAAATGTTCTGGGCCGGCCGAGTGGCGCAGTGGTTAAGAGCTGGCTTGGGATGCCAGAGGGCCCCGGTTCGGATCCCACATATGAGGGCCAGTGACACTGCCCTCTACAGCTAAGATGCTGAACAACAGCTCAACCTGGAGCTGGGCTGCTGTGAGTCGCCTGAGATGGCTAGGCTGCAGCCACTGCTGCAGTGGGTTGCCATGCGCTACCATGTGTAGCCAGCAGCCAGCGTGAGCGGCCAGCAGCCACAGTGAGCGACCGTATAGAAGCCGGCGACTGATCTGCCTCGCCCGGGAAGAGTGCCGTGATGGTGCCAACTTGGGCCAGTGAAGCAACGTCCTCCACAACTAGACTGAAGAACAAAACGACAGCAACTTGTCTGTTCCTCTTCCCCCAATTCCCCAGCGCTGTTCCCATCCCCCAATTCCCCAATTTAAAAAAAAAAAAGTTTTTTTTAAAAGAGCACAAGCACTATTATTTCGTTTTTATAATAAATAAAATAAACAATAAGGTTGGGCATTAGTAATTTAATAAATCAAGAGAATAATGAAATTAATCCAATCCACTTACAACCTAGGCTCCCACATTCTATTCCTAAAAATAAATGTACTATTACAAACCTCTTTCACTCAAGGGCTCAATTGTGTCACAGCTGCCCTGTCCACTGTCTGAAGGACTATCTGCTTCTTCTTGTGAAATGAGTTTTGAATCATTGATTTCCAGGTGAACCTAGAAAGTGAGAATATACTTTGTATTAACCAGGAGGTGACAGGAAGCTTTAAGAACATAATAATACAGAAATCATCATGCGATCATCAGAATGAAATAAGGGGAAAAAAAAAAACCAACACAATGGTTCAACGAAGGATGACATTTAGAATTAATGGACAAAAAACAAACAAAAATTTATTGTTCACCTTTGAAAGACACTATAGAACCAACTCTGAGTACAGTAGTCTTCCGCCTTACCCGCGGGTTCCCTTTCCATGATTTCAGTTACCTGTGGTTAACCATGGTCTGAACATATTAAATGGGAAATTCCAGAAATAATTCAATAAATAATTCATAAGTTTTAAATTGCACGCTGTTCTGAGTAGCGTGATGAAATCTCACACCATCCTGCTCTGTCCCATGCAGGACATGAGTCATCACTTTGTCCATCGTACCCACACTGTATACACTACCCAGCTCTGAGTCATTTAGTTGTTGCCTCCATTATCAGATCGATTGCCACGATATCACAGTGCCTGTGTTCAAGTGACCCTTATTTTACTTAATAATGGCCCCAAAGTGCAAGAGCGGTGATGTTGACAATTTAAATACACTAAAGATAAGCCATAAAGTGTTTCCTTTAAATAAAAAGGTGAAAGTTCTCAACCTAATAAGGAAAGGAAAAAACCATATGCTGAGGTTGCTAAGATCTACAGTAAGAACTAATCTATCTGTGAAATTGTAGAGAAGGAAAAAGAAATTGGTGCTTGTTTTGCTGTAGCACCTCAAACTGCAAAAGTTACGGCCACAGTGTGTGATAAGCGTTTAATTAAGATGGGAAAGGCACTAAATTTGTGGGTGGAAGACATGAACAGAAAACATGTTTCAATTGCCAGTAACGTGCTGCACCAAAAAGCACTGAGCCTCTATGAACACTTCAGCAAGGGATCCCCTGAAACAAGTGACACCAAGCCATTTATGGCAAGTAAGGGATGGTTACATTAAGGTATTTTGAGCAAGAGACCACACTCACATAACTTTTACTACAGTATAGTTCTAACTGTTCTATTTTATTATTGTTGTTGTTAATCTCTTACTGTGCCTAATTTATAAATTAAACTTTATCATCGGTATGTATGTATAGGAAAAAAAACATAGTATATATAGGGTTCAGTACTATCCGCAGTTTCAGGCATCCACTGGGGTTCTTGGAAAGTATACCCCGTGGATAAGTGGGGGGTACTGTAATGGTAAATAAAGGAAAAGAATCAAGCATTTATTATATTATGTCTTTTCTATGTGAACTGTTTCTCAGTATATCCAATGACATAATAAATAACATCAGAGAGATGCAACGATGCAACTCAGGTATGGGAAACTCTATAGGACCACAATGTGGTTTCTTTAACAATAAATTGCAAGAAAAAAAAGAGAGGGAAGGGGGACCTATACACACATATCAACAACCATAATATGTGGACTGTTCTGTGGATCCTGATTCATTCAAACAAACGGAAAGAAAGAGAGAGAGAACGAGAGAGAGAGAGGCTCTGTGTGTGTGTATGTGTGTATGAAGGAAATCTACACTGACTAGTATTTAATATTAAGCAATAATTCTAAATTTTTTAGGTATGATCATAATATTGTGGTTATCTTTTCTGGAAAGCCCTTATCTTTTACAGGTGCATAATGGGATATTTGTAGATGAAATAATGTCTAGAATTTGCTTCCAAATAATCTAGTGGGCAGGAAATGGGTTGGGAGTATAAATGAAACAAAACTGGCATGATTTGATAGTTGTTGAAGTTAGGTGATGGGTTCATTGTATTAGCCCTTCTACATTTATATTTTTGAAAATTTCCAAACAAATCATTTTAAAAGTCGCAAGTAAAAAAATCTACGGAGGAGAGGTGTGTTAGGTGACTTGACCAGTTAGTGACCAAGATGCTCTAGATGCCAGGTCTCCAACCTCCTTGGTGTTCTTAGGGCTCTGAATCAACTTAATAAGGGGAAAATATTAACATCTGTCATGTAATAGGGCACAAGGCCTCACCCTAAAGGCTTCTCCAACAACTGTTACATTGATTTGAATGCTTGGTACAATTATTAAAATAATAACCAAAGGGCCGGCCGAGTGGCTCAGTTGGTTAAGAGTTGGCTTAACAGTACGAGCTCTGAGCAACAGGGCTGCCGGTTCGATTCCCACATGGGCCAGTGACACTGCGTCCGGGCTGAGCTGTCCCTGAACTGCCAAAATGTGGCAGGATGGCTCAGCTAGTGTAACAAGACTGCCTGTTCGATGGTGGGCTATGCCCACCCGCAACTAAGACTGAACTTGGCACCTTAAGCTGAGCTGCCGCCCGGATGGCTCAGTGGATAGAGTGTGCACTCTTAACAACGAGGCTGCTGGTTTGACTCCCGCATGGGATGGTAGCTACGCCCACCTGCAACTAAGACTGAACACAGCACCTTGAGCTTAGAGGCCACAAGCTGCCGATGGGAAGCCAAATGGCGACTCCACAACCAAGATTGAAGAACAACAACTTGGTTGGTCCCCTCCCCCAATTCCCTAATAAAATCTTTAAAAAAAAAGAATCACTGAGGATCATCATGTACGTGCTGATGGTCCTCCCAACAATCCAAAGCAGTAAGACTACTAGTTCTGTTTATGGATCTGGAAACTGAGTGTAGGTAACCACACAGCTCAATACATGGTGATGTTGTTAATTATTTTATTCTAGGCAATTTGTAGCAGTACCAGCAATGGCTAACAGACAGGGCCAGGCTCTAGATGAGAGGAGAGGGTCCCCAAAAACTCACTGATCAAGATAATAGCTTAATGCAATGGTTTTTTTTTAAATCATGAAGTCAGCTGCCTGCTTTTGTAAATAAAGTTTTATTGAAACTAGGGCCAGCATGAGGGTGAGGTGAGTGAGGCTGACGCGGTGCAAGCTTACAGTCAGATCTTGTCTTTATTTAAAAGTTTGATATTTTACTCAATAGCAAGTAATAGGGTTTCCCGCATTCATTTATTTTTTTCTAATTTGCATTAAAATATTATCTTCATTACTGAGTTTTTTGGCGTCTCCTTGAATTTTGCTCCCAAGGCGAGTGTCTCACCCCAGATAATAACACAGGACTGGAAACAGAAGTTTCTATGCCCTATTCCGCCAGCGACCAGCCCAGCCACCATCCGGGAGGCCTAGAGACTAGCACATCCCCTCTCGGAGTCGGCGCGATGACCTCTGAAGAACTCCCTTAGACCTCGCCATCCATTTACAGAGAATTCTGCCCCGCATCCCAGCGGCTCGGGCCTTCCTCTCTTTGGGGGCGCTCTAAAAAGCAAGAGCTCCCATGGCAGGAAACGCGCCAAAGGAGAGGGCGGGCGGCGCAGGCTGAGGGACTGCGCTGTCCGCTGCGCGCGCCGCAAAGACCAGGAGCAACAAGGCCGTGAAGACCGAGGCGTGGGAACCCGAGCGCCGGGACTGGACCTGGAGATCGCAGGGCCGTGGCGTCTACCCCCGGGCTGCGAGGCCGAGCCGCCGGGGTGCACGCCGGGAGCTGTAGTCCTCCCAGCCTCCGCGACCCGCTCTGCGCCGCACTACCCCTGCTTCTCCCCACCCCTCAGCACCCAGCCTCCGCAGCCGCGGAGGGAGGCATGTGTATGAACTCACCTCAGAAGCCACTTCGCCCATCGTGACTCCGGTCTCCCCAGCACTGCGCTGGATACGAAACAGGTCTCCGGTTCCCTCAGCCGCTGAGCAGCTGCTCCCGCCGTCTCCAGCCCGGTAGCGACTTTCGAGCTTTCGCGCCTAGCCAGAGTGGAGGTCCCGCCCTCGACGATTTGCACCAATCCAGAGGAGGCTTTTTACATGAAGTCACGCCCCCAGTCTGTCCTACCAATCACGAAGCGCTTTTGACCAGCTCTACAAGTATAAGTTGGATTGGGTTGGCGGGTTCGCAGTTCCCTTTGCCTGCTGAACCTGGGGGCGGCTGGAGGTATCCTGGCCGCCTGGAGGTCGGGCCCTCAGGTCTTGCTAGACAGTGCTGTGCAAGTGGTGGTTTTTGACCTTTGACCCTTACCGTAGCGCGACAGCTCCCATCAAGCAGCGATTTGAGGAGTAAGCCCTCCAAGCAGGAAGTAAATTGGAAGAAAATCCCTGGGCACCAGCGGGCATCCCAGTCCCATACTAGAGTCTAGTGCCCTTGTGGGGTTTTTCTCCAGGACCTCCATCCCTGGAGCCGCTACATCCTACCTGCTCCTTCTGGTGCATAGCACTCACACCACTGAACATCAAAGAAGTAAAATTTTGTGGGCTGCTCAGATACTAAAGAATATCCTTGGATGAATTTTATAATTTTATTTAAGGTTAATTCGAAGATGCAGAAAACACCCACCCATCCCACTCCTAAACTCTGGACAAGACGGGCAAAAGAATAAAAGGTACGGGAATAAGATTAATTCCAGACGATTCTAATCCATTGTCACTGCTGATTACTATGTTTTTGCCCCTCGGGATACATTCTCTGTCTTTCCTTATCCTGTTCTGCCCAGCCAAGGCGGACTTCTCCCCGGGGCATTCTTGAGCTCCCCTGCCCTCTGGCTTCAGGTTGAGTCCAACTTCTGGAAGGTACCTCACAAAATTATTGTAAGGAGGAGATCAGAGGGCACCAAGAAAGGTCACAGCAGTTACCACCCCCACTTCACCCCCCATGATCCTATCCACTGTTAGGGCGACCAACTCATCCCAATTTCCCCCGGACTTTCTCAGTTTAGCATGAAAGTCCCACCTCCTGGGACTCTCCTCAGTCCCAGGCAAACCAGGATAGTTAGTCACCTCATCCACTGGCCTTCTCTTCCAAGTTTCCACCTTTAGCTGGGTTCAGATAAAAGTTCTCTCTCCTCATTTTCACTTCTTCACCTCCTCACCACTTCTCCACCCACTTCTGCCGCCACCAAGAGCCTATCATCCATCCTCTTCACTCACATCTCAGTCTATCCACCTTTCCACCCACTTTACTATTCACTTTTAATTGATGATTCCCAAATATACATCTAGAACATTCCTCCCTCATATTTGGAAGGCTAACATTTATTGAGGGGTTACCCTGTAACAGAGTTGCAGGAATTGTACAACCATTATCTTATTTAGTCTTCAGAGTAACTTTGTAAGGTAAGTAATATTACTGTCTCCATTTTAGCAGATGCGGAAACTAAACCTTTAAAAGGCAGTAACTGGTGGAGCCCGTATTCCCACCCTCTTCAATCCGACTCCAGAGCTCATACTCCTCAGAAAGACCTTGCCTGAGTACCCTCTACATTCTCCCTCCATCCCCTGTTTTGGTTTCCCTGATAACATCACCTCTGCCTAAAATGTTATCTGTTTGTATATTGTTGCCCCAAGAGGTCAAGCACTTTGTTTTTTCTTTAACACCATATCCTCACTATCTAAAATAATCATCCTCAAATTGGAGCGTGCATCAGAATGATCTGAAGGGGTGATAAAAACAGATTGTTGGACCCCACTCCCAGATTTTCTGATTTAGTATGTCTCAGGTGAGGCCCAAGAATGTGCATTTCTAACAAGTTCCCGGGTATTGTTAATGCTGGTAGTATGGAAACCATACTTTGAGAGCCAAGGGCTTAGAACATACCTGGATCATGGTAGAAAAGTCAATCAATACTTGTTGAACTAGTTAATTCAGTCACTTGAAAACTATATTCCTCTTCTTGAACCCCTTCTGGAAGTGAATAAATGAGACAAGACTCCTGCTATTAGCATCTCCAGGACTAATTAGCATTTGCCTCTCTTTAGAGAGCACCTCTTCAGTCCATATTAGTCCGATTTGGACAATGGGTGGAAAGAGTAACCTAGGAAGGGAAAACATTTTATTCTATGTATTAACTTGTGCCAAGCTAAAGAGAGTCTGTATTTGGAATTAGCAATCTGTATTCTCAACTTGGATGAATGGCACCATAATCCATCACTCAGCAATTCAGAAAACGGAGTCACATTGGCTCCTCTCTGTCTCTTGACTCTCAAGTTAATCATCCAACAAGTTCTGTTTATGAAGTTGATAGATGACAATAAGGGAAAGGCCTGGAATGTTCACTTTGCAGAGACAAGCCAGTGCACCTGTCCAGTAAATGTCTTTGTGACCTTGGAGAAGTCATTTAGCATCTCAGAGCCTTGTTTTCTCTATTTGTAAGTAGAAAAAAAATGGATTAGATCATGGTTCTCAAATGGGCTTAATTGGCAGAGCACCTGGAAGTAAGGTACTCAATAGGAAATGTTGGGCTGTTGGAAAAGTCAGGACACATTTTTGCAACAAAAAACAAAAACTACATCATGACTTTTCTGACAACCCACCACTTTGCAGTACTGACACACTTAATCTGGTCATGTAAATTAGTAAACATTTTCACTAGTAGGATCTATCATTATGTTACTCAAAATCAATATAAAAAAAGCAGTTCTGAGATTACATGTCTATGAAAAAATAAGCCATGGGATTTAACATGCTTGGCCCATTCCAAAATTCTTTTTATATTTGCTTGCTGACAAACAAAAGCAGATTCCAAAGGCTTAGGAAAGTTTGGAGAGAAAACATTGATTAAATTGTCTCCAAAACATTGATTAAATTGTATCTTTCAGTTCATCTTCTCTGCAAATTGAGAAAGGCCACCATGTTATATTTTTAGTACTACTATTCCTCTGGAGTAAAGTGTGAGTACTTGCTTTTCTAATACGCTAGGCCGCTGAAGCTTCATTACTGGAGACGCACTGCCACCATGTGGCAGGGCTTGGTCATGTCAGTCCATCTATTAGTCTATATCCTAAAACCATTTTTTTTTTATTATTATTCTGAGTTGTTCAAACTTTCCTTTGGTACAGTGAAATAATTGTATCTCCCAAAATCTGCTTTAAAAAATTTGTACTATAATTCCATGCAGTTATAAAGCTTGTCTTGAAGAGCACCCTGCCTGAAGGCCAGGCCTATTTTTCTTGCTTAATGTACCCGTTGACCTTTAAAAATGGCACAGGACCTGAGTGCTTAATAAATGATTGTGAAATTAATGATTAAAATATCATGGCCTAAAAAACAAAACCAAAAAATACTAGGGCCTTTTACCAGGCGTGACAGCATACACACCATAGGCTTTTTGTATGCAGAAGCTCCTTTACCGCAACTTTTGACAACCTAAAGTACCTATAAAATATTCATCCACTCATTCAACAAACTTTGAGCACCTATATTAAGCCTGTGCTGGACACAGAGACTATTAAGAGAAATAAAACACAGTCTTGTTTTCAGGCTTTCATTGCTGGCTGGAGACAGGCAAGCAAATAAGCTTGTGTAATAGTGGAAGTGTGGACAAGTAGCTGTGAGGCCCTGAGAGAGGGGCAACTGACTGCCTGGGGTAAGTCGGGGAATATGACTCCTGAACTGAATTTCAAAGATAGGTTGGAGTTCTCCAGGCTGCCACGGGAGGAGAAGGCATTCCAGGTATGTGTAGGGGCTTGATAAAGCATGTTGTGTTTGGGGAACTGAAAGTAGGTCAGTATGACTAGAACACAGGGTGTGTATGTGTGTGTGGTAGGGGGTGGGGATGGCTGAAAGTTACACATGGAAGAAAAAGTCTAGAATGCTATGCTTAGAGTTTAGTTTTTAGACAGTATGAACTGGGTAGCAGGGGTGGGGGGGAGAGTTGTTAAGAAGGAGAGCAACGTGGTTAGATATATGTTTGAGAAAGATTATTCTGGTGGCGTCTGAAGGATGGATTGGAAGGGGATTAGACTGGAGGCAGGAAGACCAGTTGTCTACGTGGGAGATTATAAGGACCTGAACTAGGTCAATGATAGTAACAATGGGGAGGAGGAGATGGGCTGGAAAAAAACAGGCAAAATTGACAAGGCTTGTTGTATGACTAACCTTGAGGAACAAGGGACAGTGGAGACAGTGTGACTCGCATGACTCTCAAGTTTCTCGATTGGTAAATTGACGGATTATGGTGCCATTCACCAAAATTGAGAATATAGGTCACGAATTCCAAGTACAAACTCACTTTTGCTTGGTACAAGTTAATATGTAGAACAAAAGTTTGCCACTTCCTAGCTCACGCATGGCCACCCGTTGTTCAAATTGGAGTGTGCTCTCTCTCTCTCTCTCTCTCTCTCTCTCTCTCTCTCAGCTTTTCTGATGACTAAAGAGGTGTTCCCCAGACACAGGCTCATCTCCCCATTCCATTTCCAAACTGCCATCTGTACAGCACCCAGCACCTTAATTCAGTAGCTTTTTGTATTCCATTCATATATTTTCTCTTCAATTTCCTTTTGCTTTCTGGCGCCCTCCCCAGGAAAAATGTATAAAGAGAAATTCCCTGCCCTGCTTTATTCAATTTTTTTCCTCAGGCTTTTTAATTCAATTTTTGTAAAAACCCAAGTGTTTTCATGACCTAACCTTCACCTAAAGCCCTATATAAATTTAACAGCTTGGTGGTGCCCATGGTGTTTATTTAGACATTAGCATCTTTAGGATTTGGTCAATTATATCTCAATCACACATACCTCAACCAGTCTAGGGAGACTCTACTCATATATGTATGTTTAGCAGCAGGGGATTCTATCATTGGACAAAGGGGATGTGCTCTACTCTCACTTTGTATTACATTTTTTTTTAAGATTTTTATTGGGGAATTGGGGGATGGGAACAGTGCTGGGGAATTGGGGGAAGGGGAACAGACAAGTTGCTGTCCTTTTGTTCTTCAGTCTAGTTGTGAA